TATATATATATATATATATTATATATATATATATATATTTTAGGACAGCTTATGCTCTATAAATTATGAGAAGATCTTTTACAAAAAGTATATAATTATTATCATTATCGTTAGATTTTGATTTTTTTGGAGTTTAAACTGAAACTGACACATTTGTCTATCCTACAATATGTCGCAAAGGAACAAATGTCCAAAAGCGAAGATCTATACAACATCAACTAGATATTTTGATCATAAATATATGGGATATTGTTACCTCTAAGTAAAAATATGAGCCCCATATTTATATTGATTATGTCCACTAGATGTCCACGTTAATCTTACCTCTAAATAAAAATAGAACCTTGCATTTTAAAGGTAGCAATCAACAAACTAAAGCCATGTGAGTTCAAACATAAAGGAATTAGATTTGCTTCTTTGTTGTGTTGATACGAGTTCTGAGCAAATCTCTTAAATATGACATATGGTATATCAATTCTGGATTCACAAGGAATACAAGACTGAAAACGTGCCGGTGGATTTGAAATTTATCTTGGTTATAATTTGAGTACACGCGATTGTTTTTTAAGAGGAAAATAAGATATTTGGTGAAAACTTAAAAACATAATGCAAATTGTTCTTTTTAATTATATGTATTACTTTTCGGCCTTGAATTTGGGCCCGGGTTCAGCACGGGCTTACTACGACTAGTTGTTTTAATAGGACACCAACATCTGCATATTTGGTTAGCCAAATTCAACTTCGGTTCTACAAGATTACCTAACACAAACGTTGCTGACCTTAACATCCATATTTCATGCTAATAATGTCCACAGTCTGCCACGTCTACTCCAGCTATAGATCAGTTTTTTCTGTTTGAATATGTGGAAAGATTTTCTAATATGTAGATGCAGCAAGTTTAAAACGAGAGTGACATGTAGAATCAGCAATTTCGCATGTGAATTCATTTGCTAGAATTGGTCATTTAGATCTTAGTCTAACTCTGCTAGTTTACTATGCATAACAGAGCGATAAAGCAACTTATTTCCATTTGATTGGTTCTACTCCTTCTAAGTATACTTCTTGGTCAACCCTACCAGAATGGGTAACAGCAGAAAGTTAATGTATTTTCATGTAAATTCAACACTTCGACACTTATCTTGCATTTGGTAGTTCATAATTGGTCTTTTAGGTAGTTACTGAAAACTTCAGTACACGTGCCATGTCCATTGCCCTTTATAGAAAATGGACAGGTAACAGGTCACACACAAATAAGCGCCACCTTTTTAAGTTTATCTACATGCAATGGAACTTAGATTTACCTGACGCTTCTCAACAAGGCCAAGAATTAATGCATTATAAGTCTGAACAGTTGGGATGCATCCACTCCTTCTCATCATATCAAAAATGTCAAGTGCCTTTCTTATTGCTCCAGCTTTAGCAAAGGCATGTATAATCGGCATAAAAGTCCGCGAGGTAGGTCTATGCCTCTCCTTTTTCATTTGCTCAACAATACGTAAAGCACGGTCCATGTTACCCATGCCACAAAATGCTCTGATAATGTTATTATAAAGCACCACATCTGGCTTCAAACCATCTCTTATTACATCCTCAAAAATTGCAAAAGCATTTGCCCAATCTTTCAAATAAATGAAGCCGTTGATCAACATGGAATATGTCTTCATGTTATGCTTTATGCCAGCCAGCTTCATCATTTCACTGACCTCAAAAGCTTTGGAGACTTTACCCATCTGCAAGGGTTTAAAATCAATTTACAAATTTCAAATGAATGATGAAATTGGTGACAACTCATCAGCAATGTCAAGATACTGTAATTAGTAACTAAAAATGTGCTAAAGTTTTCATCTTGCAAGACTACCATAGGTTTAGTTCATGGAAATAATAAACCATTTTTCTGATAAAGATGGAACAATAAATGATTTAAGATACCAATTTTGGGCGCTGGATTGATACCCAATAACACTTCGCTAGACGTTGCCCTTCTTTACTTGAGGAGTTAAAAACCCAGGAAGGTTGTAAAAGTCAGAGAGGAAGCAATTCAAAATTGAGAATTATCATATGAGCACCTGTTATATAAGTCGTGCAAGCGAAGTGTGATACTTTTGGATTTGCAATGTAAAGGAGAAGGCGCTAATACAGCTTATATGACCAAGCAATCCAATTTAGTAACTGAACTCTGACTTGATACACGAGACTCTAGTCTGCAGCACCTTAAGGGAACCAGATGGCTGCTAGAATTTATTGGTTCAGAAATTCCACAAGCTAAGTAGGCCATTTAGTTGAAACCTTTGATTTGGAGAAGGCAGATCCTGACGTATTAAGTGGGAGGTCGAACTCAAAGCTTAACTAATTATCTTTTTTGGCCATTGCCACTATTTACATGAACTCTGTTACATGTGTTGAACCAAGAATGACATACGAAAGATACGCACAAATCAGATGCTAACAAGGAAAGTTACAAATATACTAACAATGATGACAATAAGCCACCTTGATATAGAGATTCATTAAACATCCGTAACTGACAACTGAAGGAGCAAATCCGCACTCCTGCAAAAAGAAGTTACAGTACCATATTAGATAAGTCAGCAATAAAAAAAAAAAAAAGAAAAAGCTGTCCATGACCATTACAAGGTTTCTAATCAAAAGGCTTAATTCCATATTCAAAACACTGCCCAGAAAGGCTTTTCCACTATTTTTCCTTTTTAAAAGCATTGTCGGAAAGGCACTTCATTAAGAAAAAAGAAAAAGAGACAAAAAACTTCTATTTTCTTCTTCAGTATGAAGAGTTTCCTTCGCTTACTGAAAGGTTCCAACCAGTTCTCCCTTCCCTTTCTTAATAAAGAAACTACAATAGCTGATGTGTCGTATAATATATGGGGAGAAACCATCTCAAACAGTGACATCATGTAGTCTGTTTGTACGTTGACAATTTCTCACTAAATTCTATGTAGTCAACGGAATAAAATTTGACCAAGCCATATGTTGGGGGAAGTGCACGGTTAGCCTCTAATAGCACATGTATTTACTTTTAAGCCACTGTTTAAAATGTCTTTAGTCTTTAGCCATTGCTTTAATAAACTTTACCTGCCCGGACGAAAACACCCTTCTGCTCATAAAGTTCAGGACCAAGTGTCCTTAACTTTTGAACTTGTAACTCTAAGTTCAGGACTTAAGGACTACGTGTCCTTAACTTTTTTTTTTTTTTTTTTTTTGAATTGATAACAAACATGTCCTTAACTTTTGAACTTGGAACTCGAAGTTCAGGTCCTTAATTTCTATGCTTGTAACTCTAAGTTAAGGACTACATGTCCTTAACTTTTGAACTTATAAGTCTAAGTTCAGGCCCTATTGTCATTAACTTTTGAGCTTGTTAGTCTAAGTTCAGGACCAAGTGTCCTTAACTTTTGAACTGGTAACGGTAAGTTCAAGACCAAGTGTCCTTAACTTTTGAGCTTGTTAGTCTAAGTTCAGAATTTCAGGACCTATTGTCCTTAACTTTTGAACTTGTAACTGAAAGTTCAGGACCTATTGTGGTCCTTAACTTTTGAGCTTGTTAGTCTAAATCCAGGACCAAGTGTCCTTAACTTTTAAACTTGTAATTCTAAGTTCAGGATTAAGTATCCTTAACTTTTGAAATTGTAACTCAAAGTTAAGGACCAAGTGTCCTTAACTTTTGAACTTAAAATAATAGTTAGGTGGAAGGCTTAGGAGGAATAGGATCAGGATGCACTTCAAAAGTTTTTCCTAATGTCCAGATCAGCCAATCTTCGAATATGTCTTGAACGACTTTCTTCTAAAACAGTTTAATTACTACGAATACAGATCATGAAAATGAACATTTAAAGTGTCACATTCTAGAAACGAATTGAAATACTTACTCGAGGAAAGAAAGTGAAAAAGGAACAAGTAGAAGTAGAAGTAAGGAAAGAATCTGAAAATGGCGTATCTATCCAACCTGTGATACCACTGTATTTCCGTTTGGGAAGGAAAGGGTAACAATGTCCTTTCATATTAATTTTAATAAACTAGTGGCTACTTTTGCTCAGCATTAAAAATGCTGGATAAAAAGTAAATACTACCCTATACAATTTTTACCCATATGTTCAATTCGTTGTATTTGGGGCCGATCCTTTGGACCAACCGCAGCCTTCGAAACTCGGTGGATAATTGGCCCGCCCCTCTGCCCTTCTCCACTTAAATACCAGGCTTTGCTTTGCATGGTGTAGGGGCTTGAACCTGTGACCTAAGACATAAATCCACCACCCTTTGCCACTTGAGCTAGGCCCTAGGGGCATAAGTTAGGAATTCTAGCTTTTGCCTTTTGACTTATTTTTGTCATTTTAGCTTGAAAACAAGTGCTTAACAGCACTTTTTTACTTTATCCAAACATTACAAAATGGCTTAAAATCACTTAAAATAAGCCAATCCAAACAGGCTCTAAAACTTACTTTAAGTCTATCAAATACAACGAGACATTTATCCTCATTTCCTGCCGAAGTATAACCATCCATCATGATATGATATATATCAATTGGAGCATCAATACCCTCTTCTTCCATCTCCCTAACCAGCTCTTCAGCTCGGTCCATATTGCTTGTTTGGCTGTCAGTTCATTCAAAAACCAAACAGATCATATTAACTCATAATGATATCAAAGAAACGTGCATGAAAAATCAGGAAAGCTAAAGAAAGTAGTGGTTCAGGAAGTAAAATTTCAGCTAACAGTGAGAATTAGCAAAATGGTTAGTAAGTCTGAAATTGCACGCACAAAATAAGACCATAATGAACTCCAACTTAAAAGAAAAGCGGAAAGGCCAAAATTCAAAGAAAATATACCAATTAGCATAGATGATGCTTCCATATATAATGGCATTTAAAGTTGGATGCCTCTCTTTAGCCTCCTTAAACCATCGCTCTGCAGCTCTTCCACAAACATGACAGAGAAATGACAGATTAGGAAAAAGGATTTTAACCAAGTACAGAAACAAAAGTTGAGAGAACTATTTTCTCCAAGAAATTGATAGAACAAAACTAGCTTTGAGCGCGAAGACGGATATATAAATCCAAAGTTACTTTTATCATTTTATGCATCGAAGACATTTTTTAGGTACCATATATGGACCTCAAATCAGAGTCTCAGACATGATATTCCAGAATATAAACAAGATCATATCGTAAAACAATATCATTTTGTACTATCAATTTCAAATATTTCATGAGCTACCAACACAATAAAGTAGCAACCGTTCTTACAGTTTGAGACAGGGTTCTTATATTTCCCACAGTGTAAGACTAAGGCATTGAGCAAAGGCAAAACCTAAGGGCTTGTGTGGCTTAGCCAATGTAGCACTTGAAATTGGTTATTGAGTTATTTGAAAATAGATATGTATGATAAGTGTAATTCAAAATCATTTCAACGATTCAAATTCAAATCCTTTTACACATCAAGGTGCTATTTGAAATGCTATTCAATATTTTAGTGAAAACTATTTAGCACTGAAAATTTTAAAAAGGTGGCACTTTATGTATTACTATATTAACTACAACTTCATACTTGAAAATTCAACACGTCTAAAAAAGTTTAGTTGGAATCAATTGCCTGTTGTACTTGGCAGTAATTTGATGTAATATACTGCAAAGTTTCAGGTCAGGTATAAACCTAGAAGTACGTCCTACATTCCTATACTCCAGCAAAATACTAGGTAATGCGTTTACGCAACAACAACAACCCAGTAAAATCTCACAAGTGGGGTCTGGGGAAGGTAGTGTGTACGCAGACCTTACCCCTACCCCGAGGGGGTAGAGAGGCTGTTTCCGGTAGACCCTCGGCTCAAGAGGTAATGCGTTTGCGCACAGTTAATAATTCAATACTTAACGTTCAGTCAATAAAACTGTTCATTGACGTAAGATTGAGTTTTAACTTACAATCTTCAGTTTTTAGTTTAAAATTTTCAAGGTCAACTACTAAACCAAGATGAACACATAACGTCATATTAATTCAAAGGAAACACGAATTCAAACTATAACATATCCAAAAGCCTTGAAAGAGGAGATTATCAGACTAATGCTAAGCGAACAACAACACTTGAGGTGAGTGGATTGCTCACTCTATGTTGCCCAGTTTCGCGAATCCATCAACAAGGATGCTGTAAGTCACCAAACTCATTTCAATTCCTTCATCTTTCATTCTCCTTACACAAGATAGTGCTTCTTCCATGTCTCTAGCTACCGCATAAGCATGGATGAGGCTGCAATATAGATGGAATAGTAAAATTAAAGGAAGTGAAGAACTAATGTTGAGCAGTGAATAAATATAACCTATTGCGTTGAAGGAAAATTTCATTTTTTGAAATAAGAAGAGAAATAAGATTAACGACAGAGAGGAAGTTATGAAATTGATAAAGGAATTGGAGAACTAATGTTCAAATCTTTAAACCTTGGGAAAGAGAAAATCTCAAAAAGTACTGTTCAATAATAATGAGGATAATTGTTACTTATAACTACAACTAAACTCCTACCCTAGGCAGGACTCTTACTTTAAGGAAAGATTTTCTATTCTAGGTAATATTCCAAATAAAATTGTTCAACGTTAGGAAAGATATACCTAAAACCAAATATACTAAAATAGCTGAAAATAGAAAAAAGGCTAGACAGTTATTAAGAGACTGTAATTCCACCAGGATTACATATCATGGCTACTCGCCCACTCCGTGGCAATAGACAAGAAGAGGAAGAGCAAGATAAGTGCTACCTTTGCTTCAGGAAAAGAAATGTCAAAACTGAAATTATGTTGACTTTCAATATATCCGCTCATAAGTGTTGTCGAGCAGGTGATTTCCTGTTAACATCTTGCCCAATTAAACTAATTAAAACTGAGCAACAGTTTAGCACGGGAACTTACTTGGTATATACATGAACCGTTGGCTCTATACCTCGAGCACGCATCTTTTCAAAGGTTTCACGTGCACGATGCATGTCACCACGCCTTCCATAATAGTTCACCATTAAACCAAACTCTTTCCTGGATGGCTACAAAAAGAAGGTATCACTTTCTCTGAAAAAATATGGTCAAAAGCTCTGCAGAAGCATAACTGTTCTTCATCCATTTCAAGTATAAATAAGCTAAGTATCTGTCAACGCAAGTATAATCCAGTACTTTCATAGAAGAGAAGCTTATGAGACAAACAGTTATAGAATATAGCAAATATAAAGGTGACCTTTTTGTCAGTAGATAGCCACATTGAAGATAGTAGATAAGCAATAAAAAGATCAAATGAATAAAACAAACTTGCATTGATGGAGAAAAACATAATTTCAAAAATATTAATCCCCGTATCCTCGTTTATACAATACATTTTCTATTATGGGAGTCCAAAATGTTGGACACCATTCTACTTATAATATTACTCTACACAACATTCGACAGTTTCAAGAGTAAAATGGCTTGCATGGAGTATCATCTTGATGGGCAAGCTACAACATTGACACAAAAATTAATCGAAAATTTGTCGAAGTGGCTCAATTGTACAACCAGAATATTAAGTCTTAAGACTGATGGAATCCATCAAGTATGATAGTTCCGGCATCAACTTTCTCATAAATATGCATATAAAGCAGCCTCTATTATCAAACTTACTCAACCAATTATTACCTACTAACAATACCCGTAAAAAAAGTGAGGTATCTCTTGATCTGTCAAACCTTAAAGGCATGTTAGGTGACAAGGAAGATGTGGTAAAGCATATGGGTTGACAGAAGCAATCTGTATAAATCTCAATGAACGTATAATTGGTGAGTTCTCCATCAGTCACAAATTGTTTGTTCCCTTTCATTTTCACAGAGTTTAATAAAAGAGTAGGTCATGACATAATGCTACAGTTACTGTTCTAAAATCGTAACCTCATGCGAAAAGATGCAAAAGCCAATAATCTTGTAAAAGAACAAAAAAGCATGAAAGAAGAATTCATCTAAGAAAAGACACGCCAATTTTGGTAACCCAGGAGAGGAAAATGGGACACAAAATGCAGGACAAAGCAGTAATTAGTAAGTTTCAATGGAGCAGTATATCTTGCATAAGAAAAAAAACTGAGAAAATCTTTCAAGAGGCAACTGAAAACTAACATACATAATTAAACCAAAAAAAAATGATCATCGCATCAAGCATTTGAGAACACTTATGTAATTATGTTTCCAGTACTCTTGGACTTGCTTTAGAACCAAATGTAGCAGTGCTTAGGAGGTGGTGGATCGCCTAGAAACTTTATATCACCATGTCTATGTTGGACATTGAACCCTTATACCTAAAATTTGCACCAACTTCATTGACCACTAGGCCACATCCTTGGATGCTTATTTTTTACATTGTTCTGAACACCACTACACATTACCGCATCCTTCTGTTCAACAAAAAAGTTTGGCAAATACAAGACACTAATAAACAATGTTGTCAAAGGCGCGCTTAAGCCCTGAAGCGAGGCACAAAACATGTTGAGCGCTTCGCCTCGTCATCAAGGCTCTAAGGTATACTTTTCCTTGATAATGAGTGTCCGTCGGAGGCAAAACTAAACAATTTGATATTTCACTTTATGGCAAAAAATTTCAATTTGTTTGTCCATATATTTGTTATTCATGCTTATAATTATTAGTCTTGGACTACACACACATATTTGTATTTTTTTCTCCTTTTGCGCCTTTCTTCGTTAAAGCCCACGCTTTATTTGCACTTTTCGCTTTAACGCCCCAACAGACCTTAGAGCTTTTTTACTATTTTCGGATAACAGTGATCCAATAATAGTTCCCACAGCACAACAACCAAAATGAAAAGACAATTGGACATTCTTTGGTGTCACCAAAATTCAATCAACAGTGAAAATAAACCCCTTTGTTTTGTAGCCTAATAATGGTAGCATCATTAGCATGACGAGCTTCAAAATGATTGTTTGCCGAAATTCCAAGTCTCCCGCACAAGAAAAGAGTCAATCAATAAACTCTCTAAGGCTCAAGAAAATGAAACAAGTTAAAAAGATGCACTACCTATGGAACATATAGCCTCTCTACCTTCACAAAGGTAGGGGTAAGGTCTGCGTACACATTACCCTCCCCTCCCCACGATGTGGGATAATACTGGGCATGTTGTTGTTCTACCTATGAAACATGCTCGCAACCTCCGTCACTCTCGCAAAATCTAAAATTTTATAGCTTTGGTAATAGGCCGAAGACTCTCACATCCTCATTTGCAAAACACATTAGTATACACATATTTAGCACTAAACGTGCTTTTAGAACTAATCCAATACCACATATAAGAATTCCAATTCTTTATCTTACTTCATTGTTTTCTTATAACCTTACTGGAATTACACTTCAAGGTGCTAACATCATTGTAAGCAAATGTAAATTAAGGGCATCTCAGTAAGCATGATACCTTCTTGATTCTCTCGAAAGCACGCACCACGGCCTGCCAATTCTCTGGCTCTGTATCTAGAACCTTCCTCAAATCCCTCCTTGACCCTTCCCTCTCCTCATGCCACTTGGACCTATACTCCACATCATCTTCCCCTTCCACCCACCTCTTCCTTTCCTCGGTTTTCGCCTTCATTCTCCTCCCATCATCCAATTTAACAGTCAACACTCTTCCATGAAATTCAACCCCATCAAACTCCACAGCCTTCATTGCCGCCTTTTCAGCAGTTGAGCTTGAGCCCCCATATATCACAAACCCAAATCCCTTATTCATTTCTGTTTCATGATGACCCTTTATTAAAATCACACTCTTTATTGGCCCAAATTGCCTAAAGAACTCTTCAAGCTCCTTTTTTTTAACCCATAATGGTAAATTCCCTATAAAGATTTTACCTTTTTCTCTAAATTCACTACTTTTTTGCATTTCCTCATCATCTGAATAGTCCAAATCACTCTCATTAGGTGCTAACGGCGGCGGAGGTGGTGGGGGTGGAGGTGGGAGTGGGGGTGGGGGTGGTGAGAGTTTATTGGATAACCAAAGTTTGTTAGAGAGGGACGGTGGGGGCGGTGAAGTGGCAGGGGGAGAATTAAGTAGAAGTTTTAAGGGGTTTTTAGTAAATTCAAGCTTCTGAGAAAGAGGGGTGTTAAGGGATTTGTTGTTGTTGGTTGTGGGACGGCGGAGGCTGGTGGAGGAGTAGGAGGTGGTGGGTTTATCTGAGGAGTCGTTAGAGGATGACTTGAGGGAGAGAATGGAAGTGGAAGTGGCGGAGGGGTGGTGTTTTCCGGTGAGAATGGAGGTGGTGAAGGGTGGTGGAGTTGGAGAGTAGTGTGCGGTGGGGGAGAGGGAGAAGAGAGTAGTACTATCCATTATCATCTCAACTCCAACTTGTTACAGTGTTGAGTTTTCATAATGTTAACATGGTTTGTGTTGGTTCAGGGGCAATTTTGGTAATTTGTTTGCTAATTTAACGACCAAAGAGCGAGTAGTTTTTAAGCTAAAAGCTAAAGTCCCTATTACCCAACTTTTGGTTTTTTTGTTATGAAACAATAAAACAAGAATAAGAGTATTACAGAGAAAAGTAGAGATAAGAATTCTTTTTGAATTTTTGAATGAATTACAATAAAATAGAACCCTCTATTAATAGGGAGAGAGTAACTTAGCCACCAAGCAACGAACCCTAGAATCTCTCTAAATATAGACATTCACCATAAATACAATTCTATTTATAACTCTCCCCCTTGAATGTCTATTCAAGCGATAATGTGCCTCGTTAAAACCTTAACTAAAATAAAACCCAGTGGGAAAAAAAATCTAGAGAAGGAAAAAGAGTACACATATCTAACAATACGTCTTTTGGTTGCCTCGTTAAACCTTGCAAGGAAAACCCAGTGGGACAAAACCTTGCAAGGGAAAAAGAGTACAACGCGTATTATCTCCCCTGATGAGAGCATCAATTCACATCCTTAAGCATTTGCATTCCAATCTTGTGCACCGTCCTCAAAAGATCTTTGGTAGAGATTTGATAAATAAATCAATCATATTAACTTGAATGAATATGTTGCACCTTGAAATCATCATTCTTGATAGAGATGAATTGTCTTCATATGATCTTGTTGGAATCGTCAGTTCAATATCTTCACATACAGGTGAAAACTCTTGCTATCATATTATCATGCATATAGTTATAGCAAGATACATTTGTGCACAAATTGCAATGAGGAAGTGGTACTTCAAGATCAAGAGTTGTATATGCTTCAAGCGATTTAAATCATTCAAGGATTATCATATAAGTTAAGTCATATAAGCCATATAATAGACTTTAATTATATGCATATCAAGTTTTCATGTCATGCTAGACATATAAGATATCGAAAACTGATTGCATATACCATTGACTTTATACCATTAACATAGAGATCTTTTCATTCATATATTCAGGTACCTGAATCTCTCATGAGATTTCATGAAGTGTTATGTCATAGTGATCTTCTAGATCATTTGCCTCCTTTATTGTGATTATTTTGATCATTTGCTCATCTTCTTTATCAAGAAGTTTATTTGAAACCGATTGTCTATACGCTTTAGCCTTACCATAGACTTTGTCATTCTAGGACTTAATGGGAGCATTTGCAATGAGAATATAGTTACTTTCTTTGGGTCAGGAAATGCGTCCGACATGCTTTGCAATATATTGCAGATGAATTATCTTTTATGAACTTCAAGTTCATATTATCTTATTCGAGGATCTAGATGTACAAATGATAATTTATTCCACGTAACTTTTTGTCTTCCCTTCATGTTAGAAAAACTAACTTGTTACCTCAACTTTGAGAATCCACCTTTGTGCGTTATGGTGTTAATCAAAATATACACCGCACATCAATAATAATAAGATGGAATTATTTGGTTTCTGACCCTGAACCACTTGTGAGGGGAGAAAATAATATACTTTGGTATACAACGTATATCAAACTGATATAGAAAACTTTGTTCTCATAAGCAATAGTTTAGCTATTAAGTGGAGGCACTCAATAAATCATTTTGCTAAACCAACTGTGATGTAAACCAACTTATCAAGATAAATTATCTTGAATAAGAAATCTGGAAATTATGCTCGAAATTAAATTAATGAGCAAGTTACCTCGCATACACCGGCCAGGTTGCGGGTTAATAATAATTGCACATGTAACTATCTCATAGATGCATCTTATGTGGTATACATGGCGGGTGAATGGGCCTATATTCACCTTTGATATTTCTAGCTCATGTGAATTCTCTTTTATTTTTGCACATCATACTTAAATTGATATGGGTAAACCAATTATGCCAACTGAATAAATTATCAATATTGATAAACTTCAGATTTACGCCATGACGTGTGCAATTATCAATAAGCTCCAAGTTTACTATGATATGGGTTTTTATATCAATAAATATCCACCTTATTGTGGTATTCTTTTATTTGTGTAGTACAAACTAGAGAATAAAGCGGGTAGCTTTTCACATACATATTACCCCGCTATAAGTTGTAGTAATAAAAGATATTAAATCTTTTCTTTATTTATAGTCTCAGTATAATCAATCACTTTCGCGTATACTTTGGAAACTGAATATGTTTCTTTGAGACTTACTACAACACAATACCTTATTGGTAATCAATTGTGTTTCTCCAAAATAGTAATAATTGGCTCTTCCAGAGCTCTCAATTAATTTGGTACTACCACATATTCATCAACATCCATATGGTGAATATCTCTTTTAAAGAGAAAGTGTAACGACCCGACCGGTCGTTTTGAGCTCTAGCGCGTCGTTGACCAGTTTGAGGCCATGAGCAGCTTCACTTCAGGTATTATGACTTGTACGTGTGGTCGGAATTAAATTTCGGGAAGTTTAGAGTCGATTGGAAAGAGAATTCTTATTTCGGAAACTTTAAGTTGAAAGAATTGACTAAGATTGGATTTTTGAGTAAAAGACCTCGGAATCGGGATTCGAAGGTTCCAGCAGGTTTTTATGATGATTTCGGACATGGGCGTATGTCCGGATCGGGTTTTGGAAGACCCGGGAACGTTTTGGCGTCTATTGTGGAAGTTAGCATTTTGGAGGAATTTCATAAGTTTGGGTTCAAGTGCATTTCAGGGTTATCAATGTCCGTTTGGGATTCCGAGTCCGGGAATAGCTCCGTATGGTGATTCTGGAGTTGGGAGCGCGATCGGAAGTGAATTCGGAGGTCCGTAGGTCATTTTGAAGTCATTTGGCTAAAGATAGAAATTTGAAGGTTTTTGAGAAGTTTGACTGAGAGTTAGACTTTTTGATATCGGGGTCGAATTCCAATTCCGAAAGTTGGAGTAGGTCCGTAATGTCAAATATGACTTGAGTGCAAAATTTGAGGTCAATCGGACGTGATTTGACGTGATTCGGACGTTCGGTTGAAAAGATAGGAATTTGGATGTTCTTGAGGATTTCATGCATTTTGGGGTTAAATCCGTGGTTTTAGGTGTTAATTAGGCGATTTGATTGCTTGAGAAAGTTTGCACATTGTTGTAGGACTTGCGTGAGTGTTCGGAGTGGAACCCCGAGGGCTCGGGTGAGATTCGGGCATGGTTGGAGGTAGGAAAAACATATAAGTTTTTCTGGTATTTTTGCCCCTGCTGCAGGTCTCGCAATTGCGAGAAGGCCATCGCAATTGCGAACTCGCAATTGCGAAGGGGGAATCGCATTTGCGAACTGGGACCGGCTGGGCGGTAGTCGCATTTGCGACCTTCTTCTTCGCAATTGCGAACCCAGGGTGTCCGCATTTGCGAGCCTTTCTTCGCATTTGCGAACCCTGGGTGTTCGCATTTGCGACCCCCTCCATCGCATTTGCGATCATGGCAGGAAAGGGGGGCTGTTCGCATTGCGATAGAATTGTCGCAATTGCGAGCCTGGTGTCGCAATTGCGACATCAGAGGGCTGGGCATGGGTTTTATAAACGGGACTTAGAGCATTTATTTCATTTCTACTCTACACTTGGGCGATTTGAGCTTCCAAAGAGGGGATTTCAACATAACATTTTGAGGTAAGATATTTCCATTCATCCTGAGTTTAAATACATGTATATTGGGTAGATTAAACACCAAAAACTTGGTAAAATCAAAGGGGTTAGAGCTAGACCTAGGGTTTTAATAAAACTAAGATTTAACCACGAAATTTGTTATGAAATGAACTAGAATTCATATATTATTGATCCTTAAGTAGTAGAGAACGACTTCCTTCGAAAAATTTCGGAACCCGGACACGTGGGCCCGGGGTTGGAATTTAGGAAACTCATGTAAATAGTTGGGAAATGGCTTGAATAGTTAGAATTCGATCTTGTGAGCTTATATTAATTAGTTCTTACTTCATTTAACTAGTTTGAGATCGTTCGGCTCCGAATTTGAGGACTTGGGCTTGTTCTTGATATTGGGAGTGCGCTTTGGAGCGAGGTGAGTCTCATTTCTAACCTTGTAAGAGGGAATTGTTCCCATAGGTAAAATAATTGGTTATATGCTCCTGTTTGTGGGGGGGCTACGTGCGCACGAGGTGACGAGAGTCCGTGCGTAGCTACTATTGTGCTATTGTTCGGGTAGTTTAGGACCCAAGAACATGTTATACTTGGATTATTTGTAAACTTATTGACAGCTTGAATTGCTTAAATCACATTGAATTAGTAAATAAATTCTAAAAGGATCAAACTTCATTTTTCTTAAATGGTTAAAAGAGGATTGACTTTCTTTGGATAATTGCTCCGTGTGGACTCTTGATTGACTGTCTGTGTGTGTTTAAATTTTGGAGCGGGCCGAACGCCTCGGCAGATTAAATAGATGCATCTATGGTTCGCGCCGTTCGACCCTCGGCAGTGCACAGTTTACATTTCTGTTGGAACGGGCCGTCGACCTCGGCATGAGTTGCGCATGCTTGTATTGCTACCTCGAATTTTATTAAAGTTGTTATTGCCTCTTCATGGCTTGAGAATATTTGGATAATAATGAAAAGGAATTTTGGAAAGTTTCCTATAAAAAGAAAAAATTGTTTACTTGTTTCCTTCTATTGGATTAATATCATGTTTATAGAAATTCACGATTTAATGTATTATTGACATCATTATTGGACCACTAGTAAGTGTTGAAGTCGACCATCTCGTCTCTACTTATTCGAGATTAGACGGGATACTCATTGAGTACACGTTGTTTTCGTACTCATACTACACTTCTGTGCATTTATGTTGCACAGGTATATGTAACTCTAGTGGCCTACTGGGCGTAGCAGCACTGATGATTCAGGGACTAGGTGAGTTGCATTATTCAAGGCAGCCCGCAGCTAGTAAAGTCCCTTCCAGTAAATTGTATTTTCTTTCTGTCCATTGTATTCCGGACG